ATATTCTGAGCGGAGCTGGCGAAGGCTGTTTTCAGCATGTAAGTGCCATGTATAGATATTATTAAATATATATATAAGAATAATATTCTCTTTGTATGGGACGGGAAAGTTATTTGTCATTTTTTTTTTTAATCCACTAACTTTTTCTATGATATTATCAAGCGATTCGTGTGACTTTTTCAGTTTTCACGAACGTATTAGGTATATGCTACACGTCCTGACGAGACGTCGTCTTAGCGATGGCGGATTGTGAACTCGAACACCACTGTCATGGCATAACGCCGAACCTACGTTATAAATAGTATATATTATAATATACAGGTCGGATTCACTAATAAGACATAAGTCCCATTTTATCCTTAAAGGCTTGAACAATGCATTGAATCAAATTACAATTTTTGAACTATTTAATTAGAGATTAAATATTTTGAAATGCGTACATGTAATATTGACGACGAGTAGGTACTCTGTAGTGAAACAATTTTTTTTGACAAAAACCATCTTTTTCTATTGTAAATTGTTAATCAAATGTATTTTTTTTTAAATGTTGATGCATCTAAATCAAAATGTATTGATTCGTTGACTTATTGAACTTTGTGTACTAATTTATTATAATATTACAGTCCTTAATAATGGTTTTACATACAAAAAGAAATATAAAACAGTTATAATTTGTAGTCTAGTACTAGTCATTATAATAAGATTGTACTCTGAAAATGTTTACAAAATACAAAATGTTATTAGGGTAATATTAACTAACTATTATACTGAAAGTAACCTAACCCGTCGCTGACCCTCTATACCTTCTAAATCTTATATCGGAGACTATTATTTCTACATCAGGTTTAATAACGAATCAGCAACAAGTCGTTCGAATTTTGTTTTAGATAAATCAATATTTTCACCCTGTGTTAAATGTTAGGCATTATAAAAAAAGTGGATATGCATTATAATATAAAATATAAATTTATATTTATATGTAGGTAGGTATATTGTACACCTAATACAATGTTTGCTCCCGTTTGCTCATTGTTTATGGCTGCAATTATTTATTATTTAAAAGCGTAATTTGTTTTTAAAAGTATTTCTCCGTAGAAACACTTAAACACAATTTAATTTCCTTAATTATAGCATTAATGTTTATACTTATCAATTATCTGCAACTGTTTAATGTGTTCTAAATGGTTCAATCATAATTATATATTATAAATGTATTAAATTGTATATAGACTATGGACTAGGTATGGTATATTATGGTATTTATTTATTATATTATATTAAATATAGGACCTGTCGTTAGAATATATTAATCATCGTAAATGTACCTACATAGTTTTTTTTCTTTTTGATATAGCGCATTGCTGTTATAGTGACTAATCATATTATTATATCATTTATAACAAATAATTTCCGTATACACAAATATAACACGTTTTTAGAATATAAAAAACTCGTTAAAATACTAACTTATTTTAATATATGAATAATGGCATTGGTGTTGGTACTTATAGGAAATTTGAGGTTTTTGTAATCTGCAGGTACTCAGAGAATCAACAAAAGCACAACTAAATAATTGTTTTAAATGAATCAAAATTATTAATAATTTATAAGCTGCAGTTTTAAATTAATTTTTTAGATGTTTTAATATTATTTATACATAGGTAGTTATATAGTTATATTTTAATTGAAATTACTCCTATGTACTTAATGTATATAATATTATTATCAAACTAAGTTGTCTAACATCCTTTGAGTTGTCTATATAGTGGCTTAATGGTCGCTGGATTAATATTAATTTGTTTTCCCTAAAAAGTGAATCAACGTGTGTAGGTACATACATGACTACAGCTATTGGCTTATGTTTACAAATGATATTAAATAACCATTTACTGGTTTTATAGTATTTTAGTGTTAATTTATTGTGAATAAACACAAAACGCAATCAATATTTAATTTCCTTTTTAATACATATGCAGGCGTTATAAAATTAATAATTATATACATTAATTATTTGTTAGGTAGGCAATTGTGTAAAAAAATGCACAGTACCTATATTTGTGAACAGAATAACTATTGTTCTAAGCACATCCAAATAAAATAATAATATTATGTAGTACCTGTGTAGATGTTCTTTTTTCGATAAAAAATATGTCACTACCTACAGTAGATAAACTACCAATTTTTTTTTTTTGACATAATCAGAAATCAGTATACTTATTTTTGAATCTGTTGCTTCGAATAATTGGACGGTGTTTGGGAGAAAGGGTTCAAGTCCATTTTTGGTCATTTTGATGTAAATAGTCGATTTTGTAGGAAATTTTGTGCCGCATCGATTGGTCAAACTGTAATACATCCATGATCACGGTCTTATTTAAGACCGTGCCCGACCTGTATATAAGACCGTGTCCATGACATAGAGTAAGATAGAGGAGCCGTTCTGTATCTTGCATGTATATTTTATTGCATCAAAGAATGACGGATTTTAACAGTTTGACCTCTATGAAAAAAAAAAAATTGTACATTTAATTTTAATTTTTGACATACTGTATGTGTTAATATCTCTTATCATAATATTATCATGCAGTTGTATTATTATTTATTTGTGTATTATTATTGTCTATATTAAATTAAATTCTCGTTAATTAACCGGTATTTGAGCATAGAACAAATTTGAGTCAAATTTTAATAATGCCGAGTTGTTTCATTTGTGGGAGAACAAGAAATAGCAAATCCAAATCCGAAAACATTACTTTTCACAGGTACCCAGTGGCGGAACTAGGGGGGTGAAGCCGGGGATTGATCCCCGGGCGTAAAATTTTAGTGGGCGTAATTTTTCTTTAGTTCTTTATTTAATGCTTGGTGATAGAAGTTAAGAAAACATTTTTATTTCACATTATTTGTTTATGATGTTGTAGTGATGACGTTGGAATTAATGAAAAAAAAAATAAAGTTAATGGTATTATGAATAGAATATAGATTCGTATTAGTATACTAAGTATACATATACTGGTATACTGGCATTAGCATACCTACTGCAAGCATATACAACTAATATACTATAATTATTAAGATTCTGAGTGAAAATGTAACTAGTAACTATACCTATAGGCATTTATTGATGCTGTGTTTTCGTTAAAATTTCTGATACCTACACAATAACTGTTATAAGATTATCAATTAACGTACGATACGTATATTATATCTGTACTTATATTAAAAATGATGTTAATATATAGTTTTTTTTTTTTTTTTTTTTTTTATTGATCTTAAGCTTCGGCAACTATGGCCATTAGCTGTAATGGTATATAGTTTATAATATTATATATTATAATATTTACCAAGATTGTTATACATTTGTTTATGTTTAAAAAAAAAGATTTGATTTTAAATATTTACTTTTTCATTTTTTCTATTATAAATTGTTTAATTAAATACAATTTTTTACTGGCCTAAATTGTGTACCCTAATCAGAATAAAAGATTTTATATTTTACCATACAAATCTATTATAATTAAAGGCTGAGGCGCATAGAACCAAGACAGCAAAAGGGTTTATAATTTTTATACAGGATAGGTAGGTAATTAAAGTTTTGATTATTTTTCAACATTTATATATAACTAATATTATTATTATTTCGAATAATAAATACAATTAAGTAACCACTACAGTATTTCCAGTAATTGAAAATGTATCAACAATATGTTAACTAAGTTTTTAAATTCAAAGTGTTTTTGGTGTGATAGTTTATTAGTATAAACTTGGTTACACCACAGTCCACAGAATATATTAATTAATATATATTATTATGTGTTTAAAAGTTAATAAGTATGTTTGTAATTTTAGTTCCAGTTATGATAAAACAATTGTAGGGAATGATATTGTATTTTCAATCTTGGTCTATGATTGGGCTTAATTTTAATATTTTCCCCGGGCGTAAAAATTCTTAGATCCGCCTCTGCAAGGTACCTATGACTTATTAATTTTTAGTAAAATATGTGGTAAATATATACGAGATAATTGTTCCAGTTTTCCTTCGAAAAGTTTTATTTTGGAAAAATGGAAAGAATTTATCATTAGTAATAACCAAACTCCGGAAGACATCAATAAAAATAGTGTTCAAACTGGCTACACAATTGCTTAGTAAATCAGTTGCAGATGCACTGAAGTTTTGCAAGTATAAATTAAATATTGAAGATTTTGCAGGTGTGGATGCAACAGTTAACTTTATTGAATTATTTAATTCAGCATTTGATATATTAAATTCACGCTCTATTAATGCTGTCGGTGAAAAAAAAGCTCTGTGTAAACAAAACTTTCAATATATTGCAGAATTCACTGAAATGTTTACTGAATACGTGAAAGATTTAAAAGTTAAAGAGAAAAATGATTTTATACCAGTATTAGAGTCAAACAGAAAAACAGGGTTCATTGGCATACTGGTTTGTTTAAATTCTTTATTGCAATTGCATTCTAAATTAATAGCTACTGGTGTACTTGAATATTTTAAATTATATAAAATAAGCCAGGATCACCTGGAAATATTTTTTGGGAGTATTAGAGCTCAAGGGGGATATAATAACAACCCAACTGCACGTCAGTTCCAATCGGCCTACAAAAAATTAGTTACTAGAGTAAATGACATAGAATCTTTTAATACGGGAAATTGTATACCACTTGAGCATATTGACATCCTCAATTATTCAAGTTCAGATCCCATAAAAGTAATTAACTTAAATAGTAATAATTATAATAATAAATTAGATCTAATTCTATCTGAGAGTGAAATATTAGAAAATAATCAGTCAGTAGACTCATATATAAATGACCATGATTATATTTGTAAGCCTAATGAATATAGCATTAGTAATTTCACAAAAGAAGTTACCATTTACATTGCAGGGTTTGTTGTTTATAAATTGGCATCAGTCGTCCGTTGTGAGGTTTGAATCAAATCTTTATGTGCTATTGATAAAGGTATGTTTTTAAACTCACTAATAACCATGAAAAATAGAGGTGGTGAAAAAGGTGGTCTTATGTACCCTAGCAATGATGTGCTTGAAATTTGTTTCGAGACTGAAAAGCTTTTAAAGATGTATAACTTTGAAACTAGAGCAATTAATACCATAGCAATCCAATCCAAAATTCTCAATTATGTTTTATCCCATCGAAAAATATTTAAATCATTAGAGTTTCATAGTGCTGAAAGTAATAGTCCTTTCTCGGATCATGTTACACTATTAATTAAATCCATATCATATACATATGTGAAACTTAAAATCAGTCATAGCTTAAGAGCTCGTAATGAAAACCCATCTTTAAGGACTTGGTATAATAAGTTAATACTTTTTAGAGGCCAATGAAAAACAATTTTTATAATGACTTATATTTTGTATTTTTTTTTAATATGTTGTAATTTCATTATAAGTTTAATTGATGAAACATGAATTTTAATTTTTAAAATTTTTAATTGTGTAATATAGCTATCTTTTTTATCATGTACAATATATTATGTGTAATAAATCATTTCATATTACCAAAAAGGCTACACTGCTAAAATCCGTCACTTTATGCATCAACCAAAACGCGGAACGGCTCCTCTATCTTACTCTATGGTCCATGATCATTTGTTATCAATTTATTTTCAAGTGCGTTTTGATTCAAGTCATAACGGAAATAATTTGTTGTGAGAAACCGCCCAGGTCCAATAACATGTTATCACTGTTATGTGATAAACGGACTAAGTTATTTTTATAATATAATTATTCGTGCATAAGGGCACAAGTCACACAAACTTTTAGTGAACAAAGGCACAAGTCACATGCAAATGTTCAGAATTTAAGTGTCATTGGGCATAAGTCCATGTAAACAATAAGAAATTCCTTTTTTACTTAAAAAGAATTTAAAATTGCAATAATAAAACCTAAAAATAATTATATTCAATATAAGACATGAATAATTTTGGATTGGGTACCATATATTATGTTTTTTTCGTTTATTGAAAAACTATGATTTTGGACTTGAACCCTTTCTCCCAAACACCGTCCAATTATTCCTCGCAAATTGCAGATATAACACGACTAATCAAATTTTCCAAAAATAGTGTCGTGACTTAAAAACTGCAGTCTTGGCGGTGATACCGATATAATATATGTAATATAGTTTATTGGCTGTATTTTTAGTCCGTAAAATCGCGTAGTATAATACTATAATATAATATATATATATATATTACGCGTCGGAGGCCGTGCTTAAGTCGTACAATGTCGACTATAAATACACCGCGTCCGGTGGCAATCGTCAGTAAAATAAAATATAGGTACCTATATTAAATATCATCTGGTCGTCATCGTGGTGTATCGAAAAAATAAAGGTATATAATATTACAATTAAACGTATTAAAATTTTGATTTTTGAGGTATTCCAAGCCCCCCAATCATGTGGTGGATACCAACTTTTTACAACGAGTAGGCAACTAATATATTTGCGTATAACATGCGAATATCATATTGTTAACATTGATTTACCGGAAAGAAAAAACAACGTCAACGTTTGAGTAATCATCAATTTACAGAAATATTAAAACGGATTCACTTATATTGCGGTGACATAAATACACAACTGCAGGGACGACGGTAGGCAAGGAGAACCGCATAATTTTAGGAGACCCTGCCACAGTGCTCGACTTCCGTTCTCATGGACACACGAACGAAATAATTTTTCTCCGACGAGCCATACATACTATGTATATATAAAACACGGGTGGTGTATAATATATAAGATCAGAGACCGTAAACAAAAACTGACGTAAAAATTCCTTTGTGCTAGGGTCTGGTAGTGTATATACTGCCGTACCTATATATACAGTTTACTGCTTATACAGTTATACACCGAGCTCAGTCTGAAGTTTAAATCAACGACACGTCTACCACCGGTGGAGGTCACGGTGTTTTATTAATTAAACGGATTAAAAAATTAAAATCATACATATTATATGTACACACGAGCAAGTCAAGTGTAAAGTTAGTCGAGCAGAAGGGTTTTTTTTTTTATACAACGATCAGCAGTGTATCATATATTATATACGTACAATGGATACCGCATATACTAATCCAAGTGAACACTTTTTTATATTATAATCGTAATAACCTCATAAATAAAAATAATTTCTCCAAAAAAAAAAAAAACGATGATCCGCATAAGTTAAAATAGGGGGGGGGCTTTACTGCTTCAGGGGCAAAATCCCCCAAATTGCAATCACTATTTGCGCCTACTGACGGATCCGAAATTATAGCATATAAAATAGATCATACAGGATTATATCGGGACGATCTGACAACTTATTAGGTACCTATACATATTATATCGAAATTCCATTTGAATAAAATGTGACAGCCTTTTTGTGATACATTATGTATATCGTCATCGTTTGAATAACATATACTCAATTATTGTACACATATATAATAAGCTAGTCCAATATAAACTCACGGCCATACAATATAGTTACCTATTTAAAATTATTGATCAATCGACCGTTTTTTCGTTCGTTGTATTCCAACAAGGCTACTATATATGTTAAATTACGAATTTTAATTTGTGGACTGTATGAGATTTGTTTTAGTGTAAGAATATTATAATACAGTTGGTTTATTTGGTATTAATATATATTTATTTACGTGGCGATTGGCAGTCGAACGCATACTGACACTAGACTTCTTATGTTATTAGACATTACATAGTGCTCACTATCGCGAGCGATAATACGACAAAGTCCGGTTTACAATGGCAGATAAAATATACGCGTCAACATGCCGCCCGCCTTGAAACATTTAAATAATTTTCAACATAAACTTTAAACAAATATTAAATATTATAATACATCGAAAAATATTAATATTATAAATTACAAAATTTGGAATTACGATACAATAGAAAATTCATTTCAAATAAATTACATTAATAAATATTTAACAGATAAAAAAAATTTTTTACGATTATAATTACACAACAAAAAACATGTGTTTTATTTTATTGAATTCTAAACATTACCTTCGAACGGAAGAGGACATAATTTTCTGACAGACCTTTTTACCTCCTTCCCGCGGCTCAAAACAGTAGCCACTCGAACGACCCCGTCAGCTCCAGCCTGCACACGTACTACACGACCAAGAGACCATGACAAAGGAGTTATGTTGTCTTCCTTAATTAGTACCAAAGTACCAACGCTTAAATTTGGACCTTTATTTGACAACCATTTTTTTCGGGTCTGTAGTTGGGATAAGTATTCGTCATTCCAACGTTTCCAAAGACACTGCGTAAGTCGAGTCACGCGCTGCCATCGTTTCAAGCGGTTATCAGGTACAGACGACAAGTCAGGTTCAGGTACTGAACAGGTAGGTTCACCAATAAGGAAATGAGCTGGTGTTAATGGTGTCGCGTCCATAGGATCGGAGGAAAGAGGAGTGAGTGGGCGAGAATTTAAGACAGCTTCTATCTTTATTAAAATAGTATTTAATTCCTCATATGTCAAATGCGATTCGCCCAATACCCGGTACAGATGAGTTTTTATAGATTTTACAGAAGCCTCCCATAACCCACCAAAATGAGGAGATCGGGGGGGGATAAAATGCCAATTAATACCCTCTGTTGCTAACGCATTATACATTTTGTCCAAATGGGTCGCTGACTGGAACAAACATTTAAGCTCTGAAAGCTTTTTATTGGCGCCGACGAAATTAGTGGCGTTGTCACTATATATATCAGAGCATACACCACGACGACCAATAAATCTTTTTAACGCGTTCAAAAATGCATCGCTGGTCAGATCACTTACAAGTTCTATGTGGACAGCACGAGTACTAAAACAAACGAAGACGCAAATGTAGCCCTTAGTCACTGCTGCCTTTTTTCTCAAACTGGTTTTGATTGTGATTGGACCGGCGAAATCCACTCCGCATTTTTTAAAAGCTCGACATGGTTCTAGGCGTTCCGCTGGTAAATTTCCCATTATAGGTTCCACTATAATAGGTCGGAGTCTAAAACATTTAATACATTTATGAAAAATATGTCTTGCAGTATTTCGACCGCCTATTATCCAATACTTCAATCGTGTATTGGCCAACATAGCTTGAGGACCGGCGTGCATCAATTTTTCATGTTCATTTTGCAATATTAAATTTGCAATAGCGCTATTTTGAGGTATTAAAATAGGACTACGTTGAAATTGGTCTAAATATAGAGCATTTTTTAATCGACCACCGACTCTCATAATTCCATTTTCTAAAAAAGGTTGCAAATTTCTCAACTTACTGTTGTTCGGCAGAATGGAATTATTTATTAAACCATTTATTTCACTTGACCAGTAGTATGATTGTGTTATTTTGATAACGGCAATTTCAGCTGCTCGTAGTTCTTCGAGTTGAATAGGACCAATGACTTCAAGTTTTTTGACACGGATTTTAATAAAACGTAAACAATAAGCAAACACTCGTAATAATTTATTCCACGATGAATAATTTTTAATTAAGTTTTCATTTACGGGTTCTATCAATAAAGTGATTTTTTCTTTTGCTTCCGGTATTATACCGGCGTTAACGTTGATCTTTGATTTTGGCCAGTTTTCGGAATTATCAGCGAGCCAATGAGGGCCCTCCCACCATAAATCATTATTTATTATTTGATCGGCCCCGCAACCGCGCGATATTAAATCGGCTGGATTGTCTTGAGTGCTCACGTGATTCCATTCATTTAACCTGGTCATATCCTGTATTTCACTTACTCGGTGAGCCACGAAAGTTTTCCACTTTGACGACGGGGAAGTGATCCAAGCTAATGTTATAGACGAGTCTGTCCAAAAATATTTATTTTTTATATTTAATTTTAATTTCGGTAAGACTTTATTTGCTAAGCGCGCGAGTATTACGGCAGCGCATAGCTCCAGGCGAGGTAGGGATATTATTTTTAACGGTGCTATTTTTGATTTTGCGCAAATAAGTTTGGTGACGTGTACATTTTTATTACTCGAACAACGAATGTATAAACATGCCCCATATGCTAATAAGCTAGCGTCGGCAAAGCCATGTATTTGTATTTCATAGTCAGTTTCGGTACCAAGATATCTAGGTATTTCTAATTCACGTAAATAATTTAAAGAACTTACATAACTTTTCCATTCTTTTTGAATTACAATCGGTACAGGCTTATCCCAATCGCATTGTAATTGCCATAATTTTTGCATTAATATTTTTGCGCGTATTACTATAGGACCAACGAGTCCTAGCGGATCGAATAATGAAGCGATTTGTGATAATATATCTCTTTTGGTAACTGGTAGATCGTTGAGCGTTGTTATTTCAATTTTATATTTAAAAACATCGCGTTCCGGACACCATAATAAGCCTAAAATTTTAGTCATTTTATTTTCAAGCTCCATTATGGTCATTGATTTATTTCCTATATTGGGCATATCGGCGAGTAGCTCGGAACTATTTGACATCCATTTTCTTAGTGGAAAACCACCCCGGAGCATAACTTCGATTAACGAATTACGTAACCTTAACGCGTTATCTTTGGTGTCCGCACCACCCAAATAGTCGTCCATGTAAAAATCGGATTTAATAACGTCGCAGGCGTCCGGAAACATGTGGTATTCTTTTTCGGCTAACTTAGCTAAACACCCGGTCGCCAAAAATGAAGCTGGAACCGTCCCGTACGTTACCGTGTTCAATCTATAGGTACGCAGTGGCTCTTCGGGATTTGCGCGCCAAATAATTTTTTGATAGCTGCGCTGCTGCGGGTCCACCCATATTTGGCGATACATTTTTGATACGTCTGCGGAGAACGCGAATTTATGTTTTCTAAAACGCGCCAAAATAGTAATCAATTCCTCCTGTATAGTAGGACCCTTTAACAACGCATCATTTAAACTAAGTCCTATGTCCGTTTTGCATGACGCATCAAATACCACGCGCAGTCTAGTAGTAGTACTATTTGTATTTATCACGGCATGATGCGGTAAAAAATAGTCATTTACACCGATTTTTTCTTCTTCGTTTTCCAAGACGACATCCATATGATTTAATTCAATATATTCTTTCATAAATTTACTATATTCTAATTTTAATACAGGGTTGAATTTAAATCGCTTTTCCAATGAAAAAAACCGTCGTAGCGCAGCCGGGTAAGAATTGCCTATTTCTTTTATTTCTGTTTTAAATGGTAATTTTACAATAAATTTACCGTCTACGCCTTGGCGAACGGTTTGATTAAAATACGCTTGACAAGCCTTCTCTTCCATTGTATAATTCGTTTTATCATTTAATACAGTTTCTAAGCGCCAAAATTTCGAAATTTGATCCTCCAAATTATTTACTACGATTTCGCTTAGTAACGTAATATTTCCCCGATCGATATTATTCTTGCATTTTGGTATAGGACCAGCAATTATCCATCCTAACCTCGTCTCTTGTATAATTGGCCCGGCACTGCTCGATTTAATTTGCCCTGGACGCATTAAGTCGAAAAACAATTCATTACCTAATAACATATCAATTTTTTGCGGCTTATTGTATGCGTTGTCAGCCAATACAATATTATCTGGTACATTTATACGTTTTGGGTCAATGACCTGTGCGGGTATGTCATTAGTTAATCTGGGTAATATTAAGCAAGATATGGTTTTTTCGTAATCGCTTGTGCGGGATCTTATCTTCACCGTCACCGCGGACGTTATAGTGTGCACTGATTGACCTATACCGGAGACATCGCTCTTTATTTTGTTTCGGCCTAATTGAAGGGTTTGTGCCATATATTTCGTGACAAAATTGTTTTGAGATCCAGAGTCCAATAGTGCACGGCAATGTATCGCATTACCCATTTTATCATATACTTTTATGACGGCGGTGGATAACATAACGTGTTTATCCGGCGCAGCCGCCGTCGCTGCGACTGTACTGTGTGCTGTGACTGGTATGATTTCGTTATCGGAACGACTTGTGTTACTATTATCGTTACCCGCGGCTGTCATCGTATTACTTTTATTCTCTTCACCGTCTTTGCTCGCATTTAAATGTAGCATCGTGTTGTGAGCTTTATGGCACTTGAAACATTTTTTACCAAGACATTTTTTGTCATTGTGTGGACGCATACATATTTTGCACAACTTTAGTGCATTTACTTTATTTATTCTGTCGGGTACTGATAATGCTAGGAATGCAGGGCACTTATAAATAGTATGTGGTAAATTACAATTGTAACATTTGGTCATATCGGTAGCCGCGAATGAATAATACGTTTTCTCCTTGGGATAACCTTTATTGATTTTCTTATTTCCCTTCGAATCCGAGCTTTCTTTGATATTCATTTGTGATACCGATTCAACAGCTTCTACTATTTTAAAACGTTTTTCTAAAAATTGTATCAGTACTTGAATTGGTGGTATTTCGTCTTTCGGTGCAATTGTTTCCCATGCTTTTATGGTGCTAATATCTAATTTGCTCGTAATTAAATGAATTAACATGGATCCCCACCCACGAGGATTTTCTCCCAAGGACTCCAAAGCGTTGATATGACAATTTAATTTATCAATTAATTTTCGTAATTGTTTGGATTCTTCGTTTATCACTGATAATTCGTACAAGCCTCTAGTATGTGATTGAATAAGCACCTTTTTATTGTTATACCTGGCAATCAAACTTTCCCAAGCGATACTGTAATTGGCGGCGGTCGTCTCTATGCCTTGTATGACTTGAGCCGCTTCACCCGATAACGATGCGCGCAAATGGAAAAACCGTTGAATGTCGCTTATTCGATCATTTTTGTGTACCATTACTCCAAAAATATCGTAATATGTAGGCCATTCACTATATATACCTGAAAATGTCGGTAGACTTATCGCCGCTAGTTGTATTGGTGCATTGGAATTATTGCAACAAAATCCCCCACCACTACTTGCCGTCATCTGTGGAGCCGGAACAAGCATGTTACTATTACGCATAACGTCGGTGTTACCTTGACTTTCGATTTGCTCATTATTTCTGTCATACATTAAATCATCGCATAATGAAATGGCATTAAAATATGCATTCTCGAATTCCATGCGGTAGTTCGTTGTTTCTTCATCTTCTTCATCATTCAGTAACAGCTCGATTGCACTTTGTACCTGTTCAAACTCTTGCCAAACATCCTCGTTCTTTTCCCGACGGCACCTCAATTCTGTCCGATTTATTTCCACATTTTTGTCAACATTTGACAGGTGATTTATAAATCTTGTTAGCTTGGCCTTTAATTGGCCTCTACGGGATTTCAAGGCACCTAACTCGGGCATGTCCCCCAGACTTATATTATATTATATTATTTTTTTTTTTTTTTTTAATTAGTTTATTTTAGGAAGGAGTGGATTTAAGATAATATTATGGACACGACTTACCAGATTTTTCCTCCTTTGAAGTTGGATTGGTATGTCCAATATTGTTCTCCTTCCGCGACAACCTTACCGTTATTCTGATATACGAATGGATTAACGGTTGATTAATTTTATTTGAATATTTCACGCACGCACTTATTTTACACACGTTTTATCTTTAATAAATACTGTGCGAATTTTAATTTTGACTGCCATTCACGAATATCGCCGATTCCTTTTATCCGGCCCGAAGGACCAATGTTAAATTACGAATTTTAATTTGTGGACTGTATGAGATTTGTTTTAGTGTAAGAATATTATAATACAGTTGGTTTATTTGGTATTAATATATATTTATTTACGTGGCGATTGGCAGTCGAACGCATACTGACACTAGACTTCTTATGTTATTAGACATTACATAGTGCTCACTATCGCGAGCGATAATACGACAAAGTCCGGTTTACAATGGCAGATAAAATATACGCGTCAACAATATAGTCTCGATATCGAATAGCACAGGTACCCACGTATATTATTATTTATATGATAATTATTATTGCGTCATTAGATAATAATATTATATAGTATTAAAAACTAGCTCGTTGTCGCCGTCGTCGTAATATCTGTCTGTGATTTTTCTTCTAAATATGACGAGCGACGAATAGCTTATGCGACAATTGGTTACGGTAGGTATTTATACAATACAATATGGTGCTTTGTGGGTGCGCGCGTGCGTGTGTCTCTCATAGTTGTCGTCGTATAATAATAATAATATAATACACATAATATTATAGGCCCTATGGAGGAAAAAAAATGTCGTAAACAACGATTTATAATATATTATTATTACTATTGTATACGTTTTTGTGACACACGGTCACGTACACGCCGAGTGTCAAAACCCGCCGGGGCGCATGGTTATAGGTTGGGCGAACGAGGGTGGTGTGTACGAGCGAAGACTATAACGTACGCAACGACGACAAAATAGTACTATGTATAATGTATACAGAACCAGACCGGCATGGTTTCTATAATTATAATAGACGGAGGGTGAGACACCGAGACGTCAAGTGAGAACCAGAATTCTTATCTTTTTTTTCCATGTGTATGAAAGACATTTTTTTCGTAAATATAAAGTGTGGATTTTTTTTTTCGAAATTGTCGACAATATGGGAGACTTGAACCACTAAATCAATAAACACATAAACACGAAACCCCCTCCTCACTCCTTTCCCAAAATCCGCAGACACTAAAACTAGCGTTAATTTGTATTACAACTGAAAAAATTATAGTTAAAAGTGTGGAGAAACTAGAAGTTAGTTCAAACATATTCCATTCGAATTGAGTTTTTTGAAATTTTTCTCGATTAAACTGACACTACCCAACCGAAGTACCGACCTTTATTTTTAATAATCTGCGCTCTTCAAACGTGCTGCATACTTTTTCTGTGTACGAAATGAACCAAGACGTAGACAATATCATAGATATTATATATTTTAATAATATCATATATATAACATCTTGTTGCGGTGTGCCGTTGTCCAATATGTCACCTAATCGTACCCATATAACATAATATAAAAACTGTTTCCAAAAACGCTGATGCAGAACAAATCGTCTCGTGACGTAGCTATAGTTGTCACTGTCTCTTGGGTACCCGAGAGGGAGAAAAAAAGTATTATTATTATATTTTTATAAGGACTACGGACCCGGTGGCACGTGGACCACCGCCACCACAGCGGCTAAAAGCGGAATCTGTGAGGAATATCGCCGCGATGCGTACCACAATATATGATACGTACGATATATATATAAATATATAAGGACGAGCATCTCATATAGTCGTTTGGTTTTTTGATATCTCCTCTCGCGCAGACCGGAAATGGCGCGTCGGGTCGGTGGCGGCGGGTTCGATGATGAAAAAAAAAAATGTCCGTTTTATTGTCGTCGCGGACGAGCGAGCGTCCCGGAGACGGATATTTTCCTTTTCTTAACGGGTTTATTATAATATCATAATATGATAATAATAATAATACTAACGTAGATCGGGATAAAAATAAAGAAATGTCACATTTTTATCGGTTTTATCCGAACGCCTTTTGTGATGCTGCACCGGCATCGCAAACCGTCCAAAGCATGTACATTATAATATTATGCATTATGTATATATGTGCGTGTTTTGGCCGTTTTTATATTATTATTGGGATTCTTATACATACGCTTATATTATACATGTACGTGTGTGTAATAATATTATAATAAAAAAAATATATATTAAATATAATGCCTAATATATATGTGCACTCAGTTTTCTGCGTGCTCCGCATTGTTATACAGATTTCCGTTACCGATCGGAGTTTATTTTTTATTTTCATAGATCGGTCAACCAAAAAGTATTGTATGCAACTCAAAGTTAATAAAAAAAAATACGTATATATTATTATTATATATATGAATTTAAAACGATGCGTACGATTTCCTTCGCACAACGTTCTATTGTACAAAGATATAATATTATTATAATAATATGATATTATATATATATTTAAGTTCCGAGTGTGCCACCACACCTCTTTTAAAATGTAAATATAAAATTAACCTACCTTAAAAAATGTATATATATACATAAAATATTGCGGGTTCGTTCGGATTTGCTCGATATTCATACATGCTGCAATTATACATGCAATTGACAGTGACAGTGAAAATGGATTTTTATTTTTAATCTGGTAAATGGTTTTTTTCCCTATTTTATTCTCTGTTATAATCACCCATGGGCGATGTTTAAACTGGTTAATATATTGTATTCATATTTCTAGACATTATAACAAGATGAAAATGATTTAAACATCAAAAGCAAAAAATAAAACACATACGAATTGATGCCGTTGATGATCAAGGTTAGGTGGTCATCGAAAATCTATCTAGTAAAAAGTTGTATTTCATTCGAAAAACATACAATATTTTTGTTGACGATAATTAGCTCGTTATTATTAAGACACATGATTTTCTAATTACAACAGTACACATATTTTTTTACGCCACAAAACGTTTCGTTTAGACTTTCAAAAACTTTTCAGATACGTTTTATTGATTAATTATTTTTATAATATTATGCTTGCATGCGTGCAAAAAAAAAAAATTAATATCATCATTTATGATTCGAAAATAATGAAAGGTGAAAGAATATTATTGTGGTAATACTATTTTCACTAATCACTTCGCACCTATATTTTTTAGCGAATTAAAAAACAAAATAATGACTATAACGCACACTATAGCTAGTATTGAGTATTGACATTTAATGCGTTTACAACATCAGTGAGTAATAATTAATAATAATTATAATTATGACTTACGAGTGTTCCTAATCAGAGTAGGAAAAAATGCAGTCATTGTTAACTTTAGATGTAACTACCTAAGTATACGTATTTGTCTATACGCTATAAATAACCAGTATGTAGTTACTGTTACTATAATAATATGTACTTGTACGAAATGTTTTCCGAACTCGATTTTATTGAAGACATTTTTTGTAGGTTTGATATTTGATATTTTGCAATGAATAATATTATTCCATTACATACCGAGCATAATAATATGAAATCACGACTAAGATGTCAAGTTAAATAACGACAATATTATAATATAGTAAAGTAAGAGGAAATTGACGACTCGTGTGAATTGGTCTACACGCAACGGGTTATTTTGAGTTTCGATTTTGGACGACGGAATCTGCTATACTTAGTTGCATATTTAAATGCGTTTCTAGGAAATTGAAAAAAATAAAATAAAACTGCAGTATGTACATAATTAATATGAATTGATGTGTGGAGGATCACAAAGCAGATGTTCAGTAGTTCGTACATAAATATATAATGCGCGTATTCTAAAATGAAAAAAAAAAAACACTCCCCTTATTTAGTGCAGGCCTATATGTTGCATTATAAATTACAATATTATATATTATTATCCTTGTCCACGAAGAAAACTAAGTATAGGTACTATATGCTCAAGTTTCGGTCTGTTAACGAAAGTATATATTGTTTTAAATGATTTCGTATTGGTTTACGTGCAACGGAATACACCACTCCCCCCACAAAACGGAAATCCACATCGATAAATAACCTCGAAACAAATAACATTATTCATTACTATTATAACTAGTTTTCTTAAAAAATAAAACAAATGATGAATACAATTTGTTAGCATTTTAAATCGCATTTGCACGCGTATGCTTTACTATACCTATAAGGGCTACCTGAAGGTTGGGCTGGCGATTTGTTTTGTTACTCTACATAATAGGTCGTCGATGATTTCGTGGAAATATTTACTGTGCATTTACGCATACAAACTGGAGTATAATATTCTATTGTACGGGGAGACTAAAGTATCGGTATTTTACTTAAATTTCTACTGTTGAGTGGTTTCAAAAACGTTATGTTCAATTACCCTCTAATATACAATTACAGTTACTATAACCCAACCTAACCCTGTTATATCCTTTTTTTTTGTGGGGAGTGGGGGATTTGGTCGCTCTTATAATATTTTGATCAATGTAACGTATATAATTATATATTATATTGGAACAAACCATCACATTATCATGTACAACACGTCTATATAAAATGAGTACCTACCTACTGTAATCTAATTTACAAAATATATGATTATAGGCAGGGGCGTACTCAGGAATTTTCAATGGGGGGGGTTGAACATTTTGTTTTTTATCACGGGCACTTTGTCACCTCCTTTTTAAAAATATTAAATATAAACATGGTAATGTACTCTACTGAAAATAAATTTCAAAAATGAAAAATGTTTATTTAAAGAACAATATTCCGATTCCGATTGATTAACGTCTTCATGTTTTCTTTTAAGATTATTGTAGGGTTCAATGTACTTAGAACTTCCAGGCA